GTGAAAGGATGTGAATTTAAGTATGTCTGTTGTGCGGCATAATAAGAAATCCATTGCAGTATTGTAGTAGAATTGTAGTTGGGTGTTCTGAAGGTAAGATACCACTTTAGAAATATGGGCGTAGGTAGCAGGATAATATTAAAATTGATCTTAAATAAATAGGATATGAAGGTATGGATTGGATTAATCTAACTTGGGTTCGGAAGCAGCGACTGATTGTTATGAACCTTAGCATTTCATGACATTGAATTTCTTGTCTAGGTAAGTTATTGTGAGATTTGAGGTTCTCACGGCGGCAAGTATTAAGACGTCTGTCTTCTGATTTCTGCGCCGTGTAGACTTTAAGTTTACCGACGTTCTAGACGTATTTGCTTCTCAGTTATCAGTAATCGTCATATGAGGCAGCAAGCATTTCTGAAACATCGGCAAACGTCTACCGAACTACATAGCGCGGAAACCAGAAGACTGACGTCTTCAGATAAGCGATTATTGCTTATTAAGAAGGATGTGCATAAAATGTAAAAATAATGGGGGAGATTGTGTTTCTCTGGTGTTTTATCAGAATCCACTGATCAGCTGTCAGTTAACTCTGTTTTAGGCTTACACCAGACGTCTAGGAAATTAAATGTAGATCTTTACTGCCCAGTATAGCGGCTAATTTACGTGAAGCTCAAATAGAACGTTACCAGTTTTCTAAAGAACTGCTCAGCGTACAAAATAGAGTAGACCTACATGATATGACTTGTAGATCTCATTGTGATATATACATACGTTTATTTTAAATGTTTTTTGTTGTATTGCAGGCTATGTGAAACTAGATAACAAACGATATAATATTACATGAACATACCAGCTTCAACTTACTTCTACTAAAGGTCTGTTAACGCATTTTAATGTTTCTTCTACCACAAAAGTTCATCAGACGAATAATATGAAATGAATCAGTTAATCTGCGTCTGTTATAAATGACCACAGAGGAAAGTAAATTCACAAATAATGCATTTGGTAAATATGGGAACTCCTCTGGAGCACGACTGCACACTGATGTCTCATTTTTTAACATTAAAGCACGCGATGCTGATAAACTCCTCAAGCTGGAAGAGAAAAAACAACATGACAGCCACTGAAGCCAAATAGAAATAACCATCTACTGTGTACGTAATTAATTTCTCGACTTTCACACAGAAATGGAGATATGTAACTGTGCTATTTCAACAGATTATAGAATACAATCAGTTTCGCTTCCAAATTACAAAGTAGACTCAATGCATATAATGTATTTTTCTCAGTTATTGCACCGTGTAGCCTTATGAATGTATACAAACGTTTCGGAGGAACATTATGCTTCCATCGTCAGGGCTGAATTAACTCAATGACTTTTGCTCGCTTCTAAATTACAAAGTAGACTCAATGCATATAATACAGTTTTATCAGTTGTTGCACCGTGTAGCCTTATGAATGTATACCAACGTTTCGGAGGAACATTATGCTTCCATCGTCAGGGCTGAATTAACTCAATGACTTTTGCTCGCTTCTAAATTACAAAGTAGACTCAATGCATATAATACAGTTTTCTCAGTTGTTGCACCGTGTAGCCTTATGAATGTATACCAACGTTTCGGAGGAACATTATGCTTCCATCGTCAGGGCTGAATTAACTCAATGAATTTTGCTCGCTTGTGAGAACGTTGCGGTGCAACATTCTTGATCCCCCAACTGTGTAATTAAATTATTGCCACCTGGATCTCCAGTAGACAGAATTGGACACAGTCTGCAGACCTCGGGTACAATAAATCAATAATTTATTCCTCTCCCCTTCTTCCTCTTACAAGCACAAACGTCAGTGAATTTGCTGGCTGCAGATTATTTTATTGCCAGTCTCAGAAATTGGGTCGTTTTGTTTGGTCTTGTAGCTAGCTTGTGGTTGTATTAAATGGAACTTAGCCAAGAATACAGAAAGTAAAGAATGCAAAAATTTAGGATTGTGCTACAAGATAGGGGCCATACCAACAGTTGAACTACAAATTACGCTGTCTGTCTTTGCTCTGTTTACGATATTTCATGGTAATAAAATAAAATAAAACATACACGTATTCTGGAAATTTGGCTCATTGCCGAATGCACTCACAAGGGGCCACAAATTATGACGTGGGCAGTTCATCAATGGTATCTAATGCTTAGCACAGGGTTGTAACAAATTTTTCTTCGATGTTTGAAGGACTCGTTGTTGCGAGGTTCACAGATCAGAACTAGCTCTCGGCTATTTACTTACCTCCCAGATTGTCTAAGATTTTCTTACAAGTGTCTCATAAATGTGAGCCCTGAAGTCATCATGATGGTAGTCATCATTTATTATAGTTTTCTTGGTGTCACATCGCGTCGCTGTTGTCGAAAACTGAAAGGGTCTGTAAATCAGGGTGGCGTGTTTCTGTAAAATGTCGCAAACTATCACAATTTTTATACGTTCATTGTCTAGAAGACTACATTAAATTTCCTCAGGCATGTACAATGCATTACGGCTTCACAAATGGTCCTAGCCATCCTCAGCTTTGACTTAAGTGAATATGGCAACTTATATTTTTTACAATGTTCGTATTTATGTTTGCTTGGTTGTAGTTAATCTTAATATTTTCGTCCGCTAAATTCGAAAATGACAATAAGAAAGCTTAGTTAGTTCGCGTTTTGAAGATATTTTGTACTTTGTAAAATATCACCAATAAATTCGTCCATATGATATGCAAATGTTTAAAATTTTCACCTACCTTATATACGTTGTCTTTTGGCCTTTCTTCTGTATTTTACTTCAGGGGCATCTCTTACCACCGACCAGCAGTAATCAGCTATCATTGATTCGCTCCATTTCCCCTGATAACTCCTTTCAAGAGTAGAAATATATTGGTGAAATCGTTCGCCAAGTTCATCACTAACGACCCAAGATTATCAGGGAAAAAGTCCAAGTGAGAGTGGAGGAAATGCATTTTAAGAGACATTGCACCCCATTTTACTGTAAGCTTTCAACAATTTGTCTACTAATTCCCTATATTTTTTTCTAAAGGAATCTGACGAACGCGATAACATTTTAAAATTTTCTTCAAGTACGTACATTCCATTGCCTAAGTCGCGATCCTAGCAGCTCTGCCTTATACT